TGGCGATTATATCTCTGAATTGCTTTTCCTTAATCTCTATTATCCTTTTCCTTCCCGTAACCTACGCAGAGTAAATATCAAACCTCTCTGGACTATGGCAGTATAATTTAATGATAGGGATGAGAATGAGTGAAATGATCGAGAATTTATGAATAGATTAATATAAAAAAGAACATTTATGAAGAGTATAATAATGATAACAATAATAATAATGATATTGATAAACGTTTCAAGAATTTGTGTGCTTAACGAGTAAATTCCGTATTGGAGTTTCATCAGGACGTCGGCTCGAGTGAGGTCGTGTTGATGGATTGATTACCTCATTTTCCACGCCATATCTAGGAGGAGGATTAGCTAATCCCCCTGCATCGGACTGGGAAAATTTCACGTCAGATTCTGTATGATACGGAGGCGGATTAGCCAATCTTCCTGCATCGGACTGGGAAAATTTCACGTCAGATTCTGTATGATACGGAGGCGGATTAGCCAATCTCCCTGCATCGGATTGGGGATATTTAACATAGGTTTGCACCTGATACGAATGCACAGGGACTGAATAATTATCTCTCTGATCGCCTGGGTTTCCACGCGATGCCACTTCGACGTCGACGGCGGGAAGGGCTTCTGTCTCCTCCGCAGAGTCGAAGGCGAGATTCTTGCGACCGGCAGCGACGGAGGGATTCTGGGCGGGGAAAAGGCATCATTCAGTTATTTGTTCAGTTATCGTTGTTGTTGTTATTATTAATTATTATCGTTGTTGATTTTATTATGAATTACTGTTACTGTTGTTTTTGTTGTGAATTATTGTTATTGTTATTGTTATTATTATAGTTATCATGGATTATTATTGTTTTATTATGAATTATTATTAATCATTATTGCTATTATTATTATTACTATTATTATTATTGCTGTTTTTGTTATTGTTGTTGTTATTGTTATTTATTATTCATTATTCGCTATTTATTATTCATTTTTATTATGATCATTTATCACCATCAATTTTTATTATGATTGTTTATCATAATCAATTATTATTTATCATAATCAATTATTATTATTACTGTCTTTTTTGTTAGGTACTTTACTATATAAGCAAAATCAATTTACCTTTTCATAGTAAAGGATTGTGATAACTTACATTTAATGTACATCCATATATAATTTCATATAAATCCACATGCATTTTTTTTTTTTTGGGGGGGGGGGGCGAGATCGAATCCAGACTCACCTTCTGTATCGTGAAAATCGCTTCCTCATAAGACGGCAGTTTGTCCACCAAGTCGTCGTATTTTGGAGGAAGGTCCTCAGTAGTTGGCTATAATACAAAGCAAAACGCTTATAAGTGTTAATATCTTTACTTTATTTTTTTTAAGAATCGTTTTGTTACTTGATTAATTTTGAGGTATTGATATAGAGTTACAACAGATATGAAATTAGTTTCATTACTACTGATTATCGTAGGAAAAATATATGAGTTAACGACACTCCTAACCAAAACTGAGCATATTCTTCTAAAATGTCATTAACTCGTTTTAATAGAACAGTGTACCCTAAACTTTTTTCTGCGACCCTGAGCACAGTTCTCTTATTTTAGCGATCCTCAATGCACGAAAAACAAAACACCCCCGTTTACCCAACTTTGAATTAAAATTTATCTACAATGTCTAGAATTACATTTCTCTTCATTATTCAAAAGACATTCGATGCTCTCGTGAAACATTTTACGACGAAGCATGTAAGAACTCGCCCAACTTAATTAATTATAATCAATAAATGAATAAAGTATGTTTTGTACAAGGTTCATAAATAAACTCACTTCACACTGTCGCTGATGGGACTGCAAGTACCGTATCAGCCCCGGGATTCTGCGCAGTCGATGCCTTTTAGCAAGATTAAGATTAATTTAATCTTATTTGTACTAAGCAAAATAAATGAAAGCGGGAGAAAGAGAAATTGAGGAAGAAATTGAGAGAGGAAGAATAAGAAATATAAATATATCATTCATGTAAACACGTAAACTCTTACTTATTTGCAGGTCCCTATAACTCGCCAAGTTTAATATTAGTTTCCCTTCAATTTTAACTGTCTTTGTGCTATTGATATTATTATTATTACTATTGTTTTCATTGTGTATTACTTTGTAAGTACTGTAGTACCCCTCTACAAATCTATATTTGTATTTATGTGCACCCAGTCTCTCTCTCTCTCTCTATCTATCTATCTATCTCTGTCTATCTCTGTCTATCTATCTATCTATCTATCTATCTATATATATATATATATATATATATACATATATACATATATACATATATACATATATACATATATACATATATACATATATACATATATACATATATACATATATACATACATATATATATATATATATATATATATATATATATATATATATATATATATATACATATATATACATATATATGCCCAATTAACCATCTATTTATCTATCTATCTATCTGTTTACCCATCCATCCATCCCATCCATCCCTCCTTAACTCCCTGTTCCTTCCTCCCTCCCCCTCCCCACTCTCCCTCCTTTTTCCCACCAGTGGAGGGATCCCCCAAATTATGCTTATTATGTATATACCCCCCAAAAATATAAGGGACCCCATCTACGTATTCAACACCCAAGGCCTCTAAACATGCAGCTGCTTCAGTCTTCCTTATCTTTACCAAGAAATCCTTGATCCCTGTAAATACTCACATGTTAATGATACCATACGAGGAGGCAAGGACGAGGCAGATGCTGATGGTAATGCACACGACGAAGGCCATGTTTACTGCCACTTCGAAGCCAAGATGTGGGACTTCGCTAAGGACGAGAGAATGGAGGCTGAGTGCTGTGGTTCTCCTGGTGTATGTGTATTAGTATATGGTGTATGCCATGAGGAGTGTTGGGTTTAATGGTGTGTGTGTGTGTGTGTGTAGATGTATCTATGACGAAACATTAGGAATGAAGTAATTCATTGTCATACATTTTCTACATTTGTCATAGTGACGAGTTCTCTCTCTCTTTCTCTCTCTTTCTCTCTTTCTCTCTCTCTCTCTCTCTCTATCTATCTATCTATCTATCTCTCTCAATCTTAGTCTCTCTCTCTCTAGCATACGATGTACGTCATGAGAGGTTGTTGGGTTTAATGGTGTGTGTGTGTATGTGCGCGCAGAAGTATCTATGATGAAGCAATTTATTGTCATACATTTTCTACATTTGTCATAGGAATCCTCTCGCTCTCTCTCATATCTTAGTCTCTGTCTCTCTCCTTTCAATCTCTCTCCTTCCCTCTTTCTCTCTTAACCAACGCACTTACCAATAGGAAAATTCGAAGAAATCCCCTCCATTCTTGCAAGCACAGAAGTTGTCTCTGCATTCGGCAAGCTCATGTTGGCAAGGAAAGTCGTCACCACATCTCGCACCAACGTAGCCTACAGAGAAAGTGGGTTAATAAGATTTGATAAATAAGATTAGTTAAAAAGAATGAATAGATGGTTAGGTAGAAGTGTGAGTGTGAGTGGGATATCATATATATAATTATATATATTTTTTTTTTCGCTTCGTTTTTTGTCTTTTACTTATTCTAATGGCTCGACAAACACAGGAAAAGACATGACATTATTAACGTTAAAATTGATACGAGTAATAAGAGAAATTCTAAGTTGTTCCTGATCACAGTAATAATAATAATGATAAACACAGCCGTGACATTGACCATAACATCTATACCTCTATTAATACCATTGTGAATTTGTTCACCGATCTTTCAGGGGAAAAAAAAACTTACTACAGATAATACTCACTACAGGGACCGCAGTAATACAGTATTGTTCCCCTTCCGAACTCCTTTGTATAAGACACACATTTCCCTTCACCGCATCCACAGTGTCCCAGGGATGAGGTATTTGCTGACTCTGAAAGGTGTAAAATTATAGGGTTTTCGGGCTCCTAAGTAAAATTTGTTTTTATTCTATACAGAGGATATACACATAATTGATTTAAATATTGGTAGTATATTGAAAATGAGACGATAGCATTTAAATTAAGAATGAGACGATAAATAAGCAATACTTGTAACTTTCGTTTCGTCTTTGTACACGTTACTAGATCTGTTTCTGTTAATTTCGTACTATAGTAACATACAGTTCGAACTTACTGCTGCAGTAGGGAGCAGAAGGGAAGTTACTGTTTTTTGCAAGAGCGACGTCTAAGTTTGGCAGATGTATGTAGCATTGTTCGTCAGTCTGACAGCTGATCGCCTCCAGGTTGATCTTTTGAACTGCAGAGATAAGTTTTGATGTTGACGAAATAACGAGCATTTCAACCATAGTAATACAAACGTGTGCGTATATATTAGTATATGTTTCCGTTAAAAAAAAAAAAAATGCTGTTCGAGCAATTTTCTTCTGATTGTACAACCATATCCCGTAGTAATCACATCATGAAACAATCCCCCTATGAAGTCACTACTCATTCTATATCAACTCATTCAATCAACGCTTACTCATCACCAGTTTTGCATACTCACACGTGAAAGTCGGGATAAGTATTTTCCCCGTAGACACAGGAGGAAATTCACCTCCTTCTCTCTCCATAGAACTTAGCTTAGCTGCTGCATCAACATCCCCCGTGTCTAAGTCAGGACCTTCACTGCTACACCTGGAGATAGTGAGCGCAAGTATTAACACCTTCCTACACACAATCGACATCTTGTGGTGCTGAGAATACACTGTGCTCCCTGGCCTTCCGCGCTTCCTTTATCAATACTCTTCTCCTTGTAACGCTGTCCCTCTCCCTTCCCCAACCCCTCCCATTCCCCCAATGCCCAGGCCCTCCGTCACCCCCCTTGGCTTGGACGCCGCGGTTGCATAATGGGTGTATATTAATGTTCTGGTAGAAACTGGATGAGTTCTAGAAAGATCCTAGGTCGTAATATATATATAGATATAGATATAGATTTAGATATAGATATATAAAG